TCAAAATGAAAAGGTAACCCACTGTATGGAAGAACATATTTGCCAATGATACATCTGATAAGGCGTCAATTTCCAAAATACATTAAGTATTCAAACATCTGAACAAAAAGAAGACAAACAACCCAATTTAAAAATGGACAGAAGACCTAAATAAACACTTCTCCAAGGAGGACATACGGATGGCCAAGGAACATATGAAAACATGTTCAATGTCACTAAGAATCATAGATGCAAATTAAAATGACAATAAGGTGCCATCTTACACCTGCCAGAATGGTTATCATCAATAAACCAACAAACAACAAATGAGAGGGTATGGAGAAAAAGGAATCTTAGTACACTGCTGGTGGAAATGCAAACTGGTGTAACCACTATGGAAAGCAGTGTAGAGTTTCCTCAAAATATTAAAAATGGAACTGCCATTTGACCCGGTGACCCCACTTCTAGGAATAGAGGCTAAGAAGCCAGATATACCAATCAGAAAGAATATATACACCCCTATGTTCATAGCAGCATTATTATTTTTTCTTCTTTTTAAAAAATCTTTATTGTTGAAAATATTCATAGCAGCATGATTTAAATAGCTAAGATCTGCAAAGACCACTCAGAAAGAATACATGCACCCCTATGTCCAAAGCAGTGCAATATGCAATAGCTAAGATCTGGAAACAACTCAAGTACCCCTCAGTGATGAATGGATTAAAGACTGTGTTCCATTTACACAATAGAATACTATGCAGCTGTAAAAAAAAAAAAAAAAAAAAAGGATCTCTTACCCTTTGAGATAGTATGGAGGGACTTGGTAATTATTATGCTAATTGATATAAACCAGTCAAAGAAATACAAGTACCACAGGAACCCACTTATACATGGAATCTAATGAACAAAATAAACTGATGTATAAAAAAGATCCAGTGACATGGAAGCATGCAACAGACTGGTGTATTTCAGAAGGAAGGGGGGGGGGGGGGCAGACAAGTGATTAGTCAATGAATTTATATGCATATATGCATAACTAATGGACAGACAAATAAGACCTAGGAAGAGGATGGGAGCATGATTGGAGGTGGTAAATGAAGGTAAAAGGGGGGCATCTTTTTTTTAATATATATATTTTATTGATTTTGTACAGAGAGGAAGGGAGAGAGATTGAGAGTTAGAAACATCGATGAGAGAAAAACATCGATGAGAGAGAGTCATCGATCAACTGCCTCTTGCACACCCCTACTGGGGTTATGCCCCAAACCGAGGTACATGCCCCTAACCGGAATCAAACCCGGGACCCTTCAGTCCCCAAGCCGACACTTTATCCATTGAGCCAAACCGGTTTTGGCAAAGGGGGGCATCTTTAATACTTTCAACAATAAAGGTAAAGTTAAAAGGTAAAATAAAATGGTATTAGAATCTGTAGTGGTCTTTTTCTTATTTCTGTTATTTATTTTTTACAAGCCACTGAAGGATTTATCAATTTATCAACCTTTATAAAGTGGTGTAGTCTTTTGTTGATCCTTTTTATATTATGTTTATTTTAATGTCATTAATTAATCCTCATATTTTTATTATTTCCTTCTACATTCTTTGAGCTTTATTTACCATTTGTAATTGTTTGATCTGGGTGAGTGCATTACTGATTTTCATCTTGAATAATAATATCAAATGCACACTTTAAAAATATATATCATATATGGAGAGATACAGAGACAACTGAACAACTTTTCAACTTTCTAAAGTTTGATGGCAATAGATTAATGAGGAGTGCTTTCATGATAATATATTTGTTTTCTTATCAAGTGGTTTTTAGATCTTATGATGAGTATATGAGTGATTCCGTAATTACAAGAACATAATGTCTCATCTTTCTGGTTTTTGTACAAAAATAATTTTAGCACTACTGGCTTTCAGCAGAGAGAAGGAATTTCAGGCTTTAATCAAGGACAAATGACATGATGTACAAATAATGGAAATGCCCTGGATAAGAGCTTATATAATAATTCCAATGAGACATAGCAGTGGAAATTGCATGTTTAATCAGCAATTTGACAAAAAATTATTATTCGTGTTATATTTTGCAGATAAAAATATCTATCACATTGTGTTCATACTATCAACCAATAGTTATAAAAAGTAAAATAACTTGTTTGCTGGGATTTGCTGAACAAAGCCATCCCATATGCCTTTACTGTATAATATTTGTACATAGGACTTGCTGTACAAACAGTCCTATCATTTACATAATGTTGCCACATCTTTCTGGTTTTTATACAAAAAAATAATTTTAGCACTACTGGCCTTCAGCAGAGAGAAAGATTTTCAGTCGTTAGTCAAGGATACAACTGCAAAAAGTAGTTTTTTTGTTTTTGTTTTTTCAGAAAGTAGGCGTTTAGGAGACGGTGGATGTGTTCTGTATCCTGATTGTATAGTAGTGTCACAAATGTATCCATGTGCTACCATCCATAAAACTGCAATAAAATGCTAATTTTTAATGCATGTTCATTTAAAAAATGAAATAATTTGAGTGTCACTTCTGGCGTTGGTGAAAACAGACAACTTCTCTTTTTAAACAATGGCTGGAACACCTGTTTCATATCTGGGGTAATGGCAAACACTCTTAGGGGAGAGAAGAATAAAGAACAAGGTCGGTCCCACAATTGTGTCAGCCTTCTGCCTGGAGGAAACTTGCAGATCATTGTTTGGGTAATTGATCAGAATTGAGGAGGTAGAAATGGAAGTTCAGGGAGACTGAGGCAGCTGGAAGCCATAATGTAGAGCTCTGGACAGGATAAAATGTTTTATTAAAAAAGAGCTTGAGAACAATATCTAGGGCCATCCTAGACCAGCTGAACAATGTGTCATGTAAGGGGGACATAACTCTGTGAAGCCAGCAAATAAACGGGAGCTGTAAGCTAAATCAATTCCACAAACCAAAAGGGTGCCTAGTTGTCTGAGCTCCATACAACCTTTTCTTCCCCCCCAGTTTCTTAAAACTGCGCAGTCACTGATCCTAGAGCTCAACCAACCTGAATAAAGATAAATAGGAAGAAATTACCAAAAGGTACAGACATCACAACCAAATTGCTGAAAATCAATTATTGAAAGAAGCCACGGGGAAAAACAATACAGTATATACAGAGATACAAAACTTCACTGGAGAGCAAAATTCTCAGGAACTAGACAAGCTAGAAGGTGACCGAATGACATAGTTAAAGGATTTGAGAAAAGGACAACTAAAATCATATATTCAGCAAAACTATCTTTTAATGTAACCTAGACTGCCCTGGCCAGTGTGGCTCAATTGGGTGAGCATCACCCCCATGCACCGAAAGTTTGCCTGTTCAATTCCTATAGTTTGTGATGCCACCAATTCCAAAGATAGTATCCAGGTCCCTTGGATTCTAACCACTTCTGTTGAGAAGGAAAGCCCTATTTGTAACAAACTGCTGTTTGGAATTTTCTGCTGTTATTCTTAGATAAAATGTTGCTTTCTATCTGCTTTAGCCTGTTTGAAGAATGATGATAATAAACTTAGCTGTATGACCTTGTAGGCTGGAGACTAGATATGCCCATAATTTTAATGCCATGCCAGGTGCATTTTTTAATTGAATAGAATTGTATTGTTTTCAAGGCCAGCATCGAGATAACCGCTAAATGCACATGGGGCTGGCTCTTTAATAAAAAGGGAAGTTCTGCTTGTAGCTTTGCTTAGAATTTGAAATCATTTTCTCTAAGCCCATAGCGCAATGAATAAACTAAGTCTCTCCAAACTCTCCTTCTGCATTGTTTGATTGTTCGGGAACTCTGTAACACTGTCTGAAAATGACACACATTAATTTATATCTGATCCCTTGGGCTAGCTGGGGTCCCATAACCTTACTTAACTGCTAGAGAAGGGATCTAAAAATTATAGGGGCACATGGATATTCAGTGAACAGTCAGGGTCTCCAATCCTGCCTCTTGGTTTTGTATGATCTTAGCAAATTACTATATCTTCATCTGATTTGCTTATCTGTGACCTGAGACTAATTGATGAACTGGGTCAAGTGAGATTTCAGTGTAAGAGACTCACAGAGGTTGTAACTGGCTTCACTCCATATGCTGAATAAGCTTGTGCAACTTTCTGAACTTTCCTCTGTCTGTTTACTGCTCTCTCACATGATAGTAATACTTCTGAGGACTAAATAAAATGTAAAAGTTTTGGTAATCTGACTCAGATACAGAGTTAAGTGCTCAAAAAAGGTTAGCTATCTTTATGATTGTGGCATAATTTTAACATAATTAGTATTACTTGCTGGCATTTAAAATTGTAGCAAGACAGCCAAACCGGTTTGGCTCAACGGATAGAGCATCGGCCTGCGGACTGAAAGGTCCAGGGTTCAGTTCTGGTCAAGGGCGTGTACCTTGGTTGCTGGCACATCCCCAGTAGGGGGTGTGCAAGAGGCAGCTGATTGTTGATTCTCTCTCATCGATGTTTCTAATTCTCTATCCCTCTCTCTTCCTCTCTGTAAAAAAATCAATAAAATATACTTTAAAATTGTAGCAGGACAATCAAATGTTATAATCCTATAAAATCTAAGTGATCCTATCCATCTTGCTTTGCAAAAGCTCTCAATACTTTCCAAAGATTTGTTTCTTTTCTGTCTGAGATGTGTTATTGGAATCATATATCGGGTATGTTGAATTTTCCTCAGGCCTTAAAAAACAATTAATGAAAGTATTCTGCACCTCATAATATGCAAGAAACTATTTGCTTGACTACCTAGCCACCCAGTCAGGATGTTGGACAAGACAAAACTTGCAGTTTGTGCTGTATGTTTACAGTGATCTTTGTCCTCCTACTGTTTATTTCTGAATAGCCAATCAAAGGACACAAGGAGCAGTGGAGTTTGTGTTCAGGAAGTTAAGTAACACTTTATGATAGGTCCAAACCTGGTGAGGAAAGTTCGGTCTCTGAATATTTCAAAGTGTATTTGCTGTGCTGACAAGAGGAGCAGGCGGGAAACAGCATGGGAAGAAAGATTATTTTGCTCCTGTTGGTGGGCATTTTCACGGCATATTATGTTTATACACCTCTCCCAGATAATATTGAGGAGCAATGGAAAATAATTGGGTTCACCCTCATATTTAAAACTATAACAAATGTGGTAAGTATAGAATTTTATTGACTCCATATCTAACAGTTTAATCAGGAGAAAATACCTGTTGTATTACTTTTAACAACTTCTACTGTCTTGGATGTTTTGCTCTTTAAGTTTGCTGATTTTAAAATCTTTTTTATATTTAACTATCCTTTAAGGCTGGCTACTAGCAGAATGAAAAATGAAGGCAGTGGCCAAGTAGTTTTGATTTTTAAATATTAAAGGACAAAATATGTCAGCTAAGAAAAACAAAAAGTCTTCTTGTGAGTTTCATGGCATGAACACAGCCAGAAGGAAACATGTTGAAGCATGAACTACAGAAATTGTAGGACTGAGCAATACAGAATGCTATGCAATGATCTTGTATTCGGACATGAAAATAAATTCTTACTGAGATGTTTGGAAACAGGTCACTGGTAAAGGCTAGAGACATGTGTGATGTCCAGTAGATGGTGAGCTGCTGGGGTGACTTAGGCAGCTAGCTGCCCACCATGGCTGCTCCTCAAAGACCTATGGATCTTTCTGAGTGAAGCTAATTACCTAGAAATGAAACCATTCATTATCTTCTTTAATCTTCTCAGTAGCAATTTGCCTATAATAATTCAAGGACAATTAGCCTGACTAATAAAACTCTTGGCTTTTTATCTCTTTCCTTGCCTCACCCCTCCCTTTTTTAAGGTATTTGAACAATCTCTTTTGGCATATAATGTAGCTTTGAATCAGTGCAGTATGTAACATAGGCACTATTTCTCAGCTGTGATCATCAGCTATTTATTTCCTTAGCTGATAGATCTTTGTATGACTAAGGTATGAAAAACAATTTTGTCCACACACTGAGGTATATAAATTCCAGAGTTGGTCAAAAATTTCCCTCTTTATTATTCGATATTTCAAACTTATATCAATGATTGCTTTGGGGTTTTAGAGTCAGTATAAAGAGAGTAGGCTGGTCTGAGATATTAATCTGCTTCTCTAATTCACCACACTTCACTAAAAAAAAAGAGTCAAAGATACTTTAAAAACCTTAATTATTTATTTCACACAGCAGAGACACTGAGCAATAGTTTTAGGCCACACTGGTGGCTTTTAGTCTTCAGTTTTCTGTTAATCAAACTTCCTAGTAGAATCTCAAAACTTGTGCAATTGTAAAGTTACATTAAAAATTTCATACTTTGTACTTTCTTATACAACATTGCAATTTGTTTTCATAACTAAATTTATGTCCTTAAATTGCATAACTTTGTACCATTCTCTGTCATTTAAAAAATATTTGAAACAGTCTTATTCTTTCAAGATAAATGACTTGAGTCCAGTAATAAATGTTTTGAAAGATGGTCTTGCATTATATGTACTTAACTTTGATTTAAAGCCAGAGGGCCAACTAAATTGGCATAACCTACTTTTGTGGGATACACATTGATATCTCCTCTATGTCAGAGGTTGTAGAAATTTTAAATTTATTTGCTAAAATTAAGTAAATGCTATCACCTGCATCTCAACTTTCTTTGTTAACAATTAAAATCAGCCTAATGTTTATGTGATTTCTTCAAAATCTCACTGTTAATTGGTTGGAGTGCTTGTCCAAAACTCACACTGGGCAACCTGGGGAAACATAATGTGACACTGCAGAGATAAAGAGCGCAGATGATGGTCCACTGCGGGTAGGAGTCAGTCCCCACCCCTTCTGCCACTGCAGAGAGGAGCAGGTAGAAGATACTCCCATGCTGGGGCCTGGTCAGCATGTGGAGCTGTCTCCGTGGGTGTGTGCGTGGGCGGGGGGGGGGGGATACCCACAATGTGGAAACGACCTAGAACCGTCTTATAGCTGGAGTAGCCAGTCTCCTAAGGCTTGTCAGGCAGACTAAGCATTTGCCTTTCACTCTCATCTTCATGAATTCTACTCCTCTGATGGTAATTGCACATGCGGACAGCCATTTCTGGAAGATGTGTGCTTTTCTGAGAGTTTAACTTCTACAGTTCCTTTGGGACACCTGCCAGGCAACAGTAAGGAGATGTATTTGTTTGCACTTGAACATCAACTTGGGTGGAGCATGAGTGGACTGGGAAATGCACTGGCTTGGGGAAACAATACCCTTCCACTGGACCCTGATCCCATAGTCTGCATGTTTTGAAATTAGGAATGAAAGCATCATCTTTTTGATATTTGGCAACCCAACGTGATAGGTCTTTCATGATTGGCTCACACTCACTTTCTGGGACCCTGTTTACTTTATGCATCCCGGTGCGGACCTGACTTGTAGCTTTACTAAATTACCTGAATTTCTCTAATTGCAATAGGAGTGTCCCTGTTCCTCTGGCCTAGAAAGAGATTTTCTCCTTTGTTCAGCCGAACGTCCCTCTCTGTACTCACAGCAGAGTTCACATAGTGTTTGAAACCTTCCCCCTCAGGTCTCATGACCTGGCAAGTAGTTTACCTCTCTAGTGAATTTTGCCAAAGTTCTTGTACATGTCTCTGAGACGGGCAGCTATGTTGTTTCATAATTGTTTATGTATCCATTCCTCCCACTTGACTCTGAGTTTATTTAGAGTAGAAAGTATACATTGGTTACCTGTGTACTCGAAGTAAGAAGCATACATATGATTTCAGCCTGGCTGGTGTGACTCAGTGGTTGAGTGTCAACCTATGAACCAGGAGGTTTGATTTCTGGTCAGAGCACATGCCCAGGTGACTGGCCTGATCGCCAGTGTGGGGCATGCAGGAGACAGACGATCAATGATTCTCTCTCATCATTGATATTTCTCTCTCTCTCCCTTTCCCTTCCTCTCTGAAATTAAATATATATTTTAAATGTACTTCAAAGCTCATAATAAAGTGAAGCCTAGATCCTTTCAAGCTGTAATATCTCAAGAATTCATTAAATATCTTTTATTTTTAATATGAGGCAACTATTATGGTAAAGATTCTGTGTCATTCAGATTCAGCTGTGGTAACAGGACACAGGGCTTCTGGGAGCATAAGTGCATACTTCTATGTTCATAAACAGCACTGGCACTTGCTGTTTGTAACTTGGGATGGTATGTGTTTTCTTTCTTTCCTTTTAGGCCCTGGTTGGTGAACTCCTGGGAATCAACCATTTCATGAGCACTGTAGTGTTTTTCATGAGCTTTCAAGATGTCCCACCCACATCTGATGAAACTGTTACTGTGATGGACACAACTTTCAGCAATGTTCCTGTCCGAGTATACATACCAAAGCGCAAGTCAGAGGCGCTACGAAGGGGCTTATTTTATATTCATGGAGGCGGTTGGTGCTTGGGAAGTGCTAGTAAGTTCCCCTTGTTGCACTTTTATTTATTTTTTTATCATAGAGCATATATTTTATTAACATGTTTTCTCTGACATATCTGGTGAACATTATCACAGATAACAGAATATGTTTTCTCTGACATATCTGGTGAACATTATCACAGATAACAGAAATGTCAGCTGTCTGACATTTCTTTAGTTGGAATTATGTTAGTTTAAAAATTATTTTGAATTCATTTCTCAAAGGAAATAAATATTCAAAGCTGTAGCAAATCTCAGATAAGGAGAAAAACTTTCGTGAATGTAGAAATGTATTATTAAGATTGTTAATTGCAAATATGATGGAATATTGTAATGAAAACCAAAATTAAATTAGTTGAAGTGTGGAGGAGAAGTGAGGAAATGAAGATGGCGATGCAGACTTTTAATAAATTTAGGAAAGATGAGGTCTCAGATAGAAAAGAAGCATAGGGTTGAGTAAGTGTACTTTATTTTCATTTTATGGAAAATATATGTACAGTCCTGACAAGTGTGGCTCAGTTGTTGGGAAGGTCTTCTCATGCACTGAAAGTTTGCCTGTTCAATTCCCTGTCATGGCTCATACCTAGGTTATGGCTTTGACCCCTGATAGTAGTACATATAAAAGGCAAGGAATCAATGTTTCTCTCATACATCAATATTTCTCCCTCTCTTCCTCTCTCTATTCTTTCTCTCTCTTTCTTCCTCTTCCCCATCTCTAAAATCATTAAAAAAAAATATGCTTGGGTGAGGCTTAACCAAAATTAAAATTCACATTTTATCTTATATACTTTCTATATTTCTACAAATATATCTAAAATATATTATTTCATTAAATGTAATATAAAGTTTATATCTTATATATCTACATTAATAAAAGAGAAACATGCAAATTGACCATCACTCTGCTATATCCACCAGCCAATCAGGAGTAAATATGCAAATTAGCTCAACAAAGATGGTGGCAGCCATGGAGCTGGAGCAAGCAGGAGGCTTGGGTTTCCCCTAGTGATAAAGGAAGCCAAACTTCCCACCTGCCCTGGCCGGCCTTGGCCTCTTCTCAAGGCTACAAATTTTCAATTATAGAAGATAAATAAATCCCAAATACCTGCTTCCAGCTGGCCCTGGTCTCTGCTCTAGGAGGCACTGAAAAAAAAGAAAAAGAAAAAAAGGAGAGGCTGGAAGCCTGGATCATCATGGAGCATGGCCAGCCTAAAAACAGCCCTCAGCTCCTAACCCAGGCTAACCACACTCCCATGGGGTAGGGTTCCCACTGGGGGGCTTGGCCAACTTGAAAACAGCCATCAGCCCCTCCCCCAGGTTGGACCCCCACCTGAAGGTGGTATGGCCAGCCTGAAAACCACCACAGGCCCCTCATCCAAGCTGCCCATGCCCTAAGGGAATCCCCACCCTAATCTGGGACACCCTTCAGGGCAAACCAGATGGCCCCCACCCATGCACCAGGCCTCTATCTATACTAATAAAAGGATAATATGCTAATTAGACTGGAATACCTTCCAGGAGACCTTCTGGATGTTCTTCTGGACAAAGCCATGGTGGCAGGGCCAAGGTAGAGGTGGTTAGAGGCAAAGAGGGGAGGGTAGTTGTGGGTGACCAGGCCAGTACTGGATGGCAGTTGTGGGCAATCAGACTGGTGGGAGGTGGGGCCACTGGGGGTAAGCAGACCAGCAGGAGGGCCAGTTGGTGGTGAGCAGGCCTTCAGTGGGGGACAGTTGGAAGTGATCAGGACAGTGGGGGGGGGGTAGTTTGGAGTGAGCAGGCCAGCAGGGGGGCAGTTGGGGGTGAGCAGGCTGATGGAGGGGGCATTTGGGGGAAAGCAGGCCAATAGGCAGAGTGGTTAGGGGCAATCAGGCAGGCAGGCAGGCAAGTAAGGGGTTAGGAGCCAGCAGTCCCAGATTGCAAGAGGGCTATCCGACTGCCAGTTTAGGCCCTATCCCTGTAAACAGGCAATAAGACATCCTTCGAGGGAACCAAGATTGGAGAGGGTGCAGGTCAGGCTGACAGGCTGAGGGACAACCCTACCCCATGCATGGATTTCATGCACCGGGTCTCTAGCCTTATATATTTATGTTTAAATACATATTATATTTATATATAGAAGGTCTATGAACATGTTTATAAGCTGAAGGTAAAGAAAGCAATAAATAGCCCTAACCGGTTTGGCTAGATCGAGCAAGGGCCTAGACTGAAGGGTCCCCAGCTTAATTCTTGTCAAGGGAATGTACCTTGGTTATAGGCTCAATCCCCATTAGGGGGCAGGCAGGAGGCAACTGATCAGTGTTTCTCTCTCCATGTTTCTAACTCTCTATTCCTCCCCCTTCCTCTCTGTAAAAATCAATAAAAATTTATTTTCAAAAAATAAAAGAAAAAGATAACAGTAAATAGAAGTGTGTTGAAATGTGGGAAGAGACACAGGAGGACAGGATGAAGTTTGCCTGACCCTACAGGATGTTGGAGGGAACTGGACTCCTTACAAAAGGGAGTATTTATATCATGCACGGAGAGGAACATAATTTTCTCTGTTATGTTTTCTCTCTCTGTTTTCAGGAGGGAAATAAAAAAGAGGTATTGATGAGTACTGATGTAGATTAGAAATGTAAATTGAAGCAGTAAAGGGTGTGATCCTAACATTTTGTATAAATTCAAGCAGTGAAGTCATCAGCTGGCAATGAAGTGATGTTTTAAGACTAAATCTAAAAAATAAAAATAAAAATAAAAAACAGACTCTGCCACTATGCCATGCCTCAGTTGGTTTCCACGAGTTCCTGCTGCCGAAAGCAATCCCTTAAAAATCTTTCCATCAATGTTTCCCTAAAGAGTAAACAAAAATTAAAACGCACATTTTAATTTATTTATGTAGTTCCTATATTTCTACAACAATATAGGTTTTTCTACCTGATTTTGCTCAGTGGATAGAGCGTAGGTCTGTGGACCAAAGAAGCCTGGACTTGATTCCTGTGAAGGGCCTGTACCTTGGTTGCAGGCTCCTCCCAGCCTGTGGCCTGGTGAGGGTGCATGCAGGAGGCAACCAGTTGTTGTGTTCTCTCACATCAATGTTTCTCTCTATTTTTCTCCCTCTTTTCTACTCTCCCTATAAGTCAATTGGAAAATATCCTAAGGTGAGGATTAATAACAACAAAACAAAAAAGAGGAGGAGCATGCTTATAAAGGGGGGAAAAAACTAAATAAGAATTATCTCTGAAGCAAAATAGTATTTGCCTGATGCTTTCTCTTTCAATATATATATATATTTTTTAAAAACCTATAAAAATGTGTGTCCTAATCCAAAATACAAGCATGACTTTGTATAGTAAATGTTAAACAAAAGTTCAAAATTTGGTGTGTCTTTTATATTTTAAGAATATTCAGCACCTGCCCTGACCAGTTTGGTTCCGTGGATAGAACATCGGCCTGGAGACTGAAAGTTCCCAGGTTCGGTTCTGGTCAAGGACATGTACCTTGGTTGCAGATATATCCCCAGTAGGAGCTGTGCAGGAGGCAGCTGATCAATGTTTCTCTCTCATCAATGTTTCTAACTCTTTATCTCTCTCCCTTCCTTTCTGTAAAAAAATAATAAAATATATATTTTTTAAAAAGAGAATATTCAGCACCCAATTTTGGCAACATCATAAGAGAATGTCTACTCCTCTTTTTATGGTCCACAGGATGTACATTTTGTGACAACTTTATATGCTATTATTTCTCATCAGTACTTTATGATCTCTCCCTCCTTTTGTTACTGGAAAATCCTATTTTATTTTCTTAAACACTTCTTAAGTGCCAAAGGAAGCATTTTTCCAAGCACAATAGCAAACATGTGTGACTCCTCCCCACTCGATCCATATACATGGCCAAAATAACCCAAGAAAACACATGTCTTCTCATCTACCTAGGAAATATGAATGCCAAAATCGGGTCTCAGCTCTCTCTATTTCCTTTTTCTCTTCTTTAACGTGCTCTGGCAATTTTGATGAAAGCGAATACTATTCCACAGAGCACTATCTCTACCCCTCCATTAAAGCAACTATTATATTCCTTTTAGTATATATGCTTGATCTTCCCAGCTCCTGTCTCCAGTAGGCTGTGATTTCCTGAAAGTCGGGAGGTATATTCATGTTTATTCTTTTAACACTTATTATAACAACTGCTGATTGAAGAAAGCACAGATTAATCTTGAAAAAAGTGTAATTGCTTAAATTATACAGTGTAGAATGTGGAAAAGAACAAAAAAAAAAAAAAAAAAAAAAACCCTGATAATGTACATGTAACAGGATCACTGGGCAAGAGAATTCATGCTCTGTAGCTGTGATGAAATATTAGAAATATTTTTCCAAAACATTTTCATGAAGAATGAGATGTCATAGTAGACTTTTTGCTGGGGGAAAAATGTCCATCAATTTATCAGTCTCTGGTTGTCTTTTCTTTTATTTCAGCTTCTTCTTATTATGATACATTGTCAAGACGAACAGCTGATAGACTTGATGCTGTTGTCATTTCAACCAAGTAAGAGCACTGTTGGTTGGTTTGGGTTTGGGCCAGGTGCCTTATATAGTGAGATGTTTTCAGATGTTCTAATGATTCCCTGGTTATGCCCGGTGTGTTTCAAATGAAAATCAGAGGGTGAAAACAGAGAAAGTGAGCTTGGGCATGAACAGAAAAGAGACAGAGAATAGATTTGTAGAGTTGGGTCAGGAGGGGATCAAAAACAGGATGTCAAGAAATTGTTAGAGCCCTAACCGGTTTGGCTCAGTGGATAGAGCATTGGCCTGCAGACTCAAGGGTTCCAGGTTTGATTCCCGTCAGGGGCATAAATCTTGGTTGTGGGCACATCCCCAGTAGAGGGTGTGTAGGAAGCAGCTGATTGATGTTTCCCTTTCATCAATGTTTCTAACTCTCAATCTTCTCTCTGTAAAAAATCAATAAAATATATTTTTTAAAAGGAAGTGTTAGAATAAAATTAAAATATTAAATTTTATTGACAAATGAACTTTGTTGGGTTTCCCACCTACTTTTAGTTAGCAGAATGAATAAGGAGGGCATCAGAGTCAGAGAATCAAGCTCAAAATTTGGTTCTAGAATTTACTGAGTTACTGTGACAGTTAAATCTCATTTTAACTCCATTTTCTCATATGTAAACTGGGAATCATATAATATTTCCTATGTCATAGAGTTATTTTGAAAATCAAATAATAATAAAGTATGTTTAAAGCAATTAATATATATATATATATATATATATATATATATATATATTTAAATATGTTTTATTGATTTTTTTACAGAGAAGAAGGGAGAAGGATAGAGAGTTAGAAACATTGATGAGAGAGAAACATCAACCAGCTGCCTCCTACACAACCTTTATTGTGGATTTGCCCACAACCAAGATATATGCCCTGAGTGGAATTGAACCTGGGACCCTTGAGTCCACAGGCTGGCACTCTATCCACTGAGCCAAACCTGTTAGGGCAGTATAGTATATTTTATGGTATAATCCTTCATCAAAAGCAAGTAGTTACTAAATAACATGGGAATACAAGCATAGTCTATTCTAAAAACCATTCTAGACCAATAATCAATATTAGAAAATGAAAAAAAAATAGTAATGATGCATGGCAACTTGATCATGAGATTAAGTTGGCATAAAATAATTTCTAAGATTTGTTTAATATATATTGGTTAGTAATAAAGTATAATGATTACAAAGAAAATAACATTCTAGGAGTTTAGTTAGTTATCATCTGGGATTTTTTTCTTTTTTCTTAAACTCAATCCAAGTTTTGCATTCAGGCCATTACTCATGCAAAAATGACATTTGTGAAAATTTTCATATCCAGCATTATCATTAGAATTAAGTCTGCCTTTGGATTCATTGCAATTCAAAATATATTTGTTAAAGAAAAATTTTACTTTTTATTTTGAGGCAATAGCATGCACACAAATGGGTATGTACTCACACACACACACACACACACACACACACACACACACATATATTTTTATTATAAATATTGACTTAAAGTACATTGTTTTTCTACCCACAGCTATAGACTAGCACCTAAATACCACTTTCCAAATCAATTTGAAGATGTGTATAATGCATTAAAGTGGTTCTTACGCCAAGATATTCTTAAAGGCTATGGTGTAGATCCCAAAAGAATTGGTATTTCTGGAGACAGTGCTGGAGGAAATTTAGCTGCAGCAGTGACTCAACAGGTATGTTGCTTAGATTTGCTTCCTTTTTAAAAATGTATTATACTTAAATATATTTATTTCAAATATTAAAATATTAACTCAAATATGTTATATTAATACATTAGAGATACATAGAAATCATGTCAGAGAACATTAATATATCTAGTGCCTCTATTCCTCCTGCCATATTTATTAAAATAACATTATAAAATCCTCTTTCTAGATCATTAGTTTAAACATAATTGGTATTGTCAGGTAATTACCACTGTGTTTGTTATATTACTGGATTGCATTTGTGAAATCAATCAATGATACCAATCTGATGCTTATTTCAATATTCTTTAGTGGAGTATGCTAAGACATAGATGAAAACTGTTATCAGAATAATAAAGTTGCCTATGGACAAAAAAGTTAGCAGGTTCACAAATATTCTTCATTTTCAGAAGGAACTATATTTTTCATATATCAATTAATACACTTTTTATGACATTTAGCTAAAATCGGACACCTATTAACTATTGACTTAATATGGAAATAATTAATTATAATTACTCTAATAGATTATGAGTAAAATTGCTTTGGATACTGGTTTAATTAACCTAAGACATTAACTTTGCACTGATGGCTTGGAAGCAATGTTCCTGTAGAGTAAAAAAAAAATCTAATATATTTGCAAATAAATGTTTACAATTTAATTCTAATAATAGATATTACACATAAACTTACTGTGCTATTAAACAAACCCTGCTATCATTTGTATTGCTTATTTTAATACACATTTTAAAGTATATAAATGTTGGCTACTTGTAGTTTTAGAATCATCTTGTCTTCAACAAGAAAAAAGATACCAAAAACTATGTACACACAGCCTACACAAGGGTGCACCTAGAGTGCCCAGCTCAGATGACTTGGGAGGCTGAGCCACTGGGCCCTACAGGACATCTATCACACAAGATCACTCTACCAATTCCAGGAAACATAGAAGTCTACCTAATACATAGGAACATAGGGAAGCAGCAAAAATAAAGAGACAAAGAAACATCACAAATGAAAGAACAGAAGAAATATTCAGAAAAATAAATTAAATGGAAGCAAACAAACTATAAGATAGAGAGTTTGAAATAATAGTTATATGGATTCTCAATGATCTTAATAAAAGCTACAAGGGACTTTGTGGGAATTTCAAGGATCTTAGTGAGAATTTCAAAGACATGAAAAAGAACTAGTCAAAATTAAATATTCAGTAACTGAAATAAAGAATAATTTTCATAAATTCAACAGCAGAATAGAGGATTCCAAGAATCAAATCAGTGATTTGAAATATGAGGAAGCCATAAACACCCAACCAGGAGGAAGAAAAAAGAATCCAAAAATAAGAAGATACTGTAAGGAGCCTCTGGGACAACTTTAAGCATTTCAACATTTGCATTATGGGGGTTCCAGAAGGAGAAGAGAGAGAGAGCAAGATATTTAAAATCTATTTGAAGAAATAATGACAGAAATCTCCCACTACCCAGTAAAAGAAATAGACTTATGAGTCCAGGAAGACCAAACAAGATGAGCCTAAAGAGGCCCACACCAAGACACATCGTAACTAAAGTGTCAACGGCAAAAGACAGAGGTAATCTCAAAAGCAGCAAGAGAAAAACAGTTAGTTACCTAGCACCCATAGGACTGTGGGCTGATTTCTCAACAGAAACTTAGCAGGTCAGAAGGAAGTAGCAAGAAATATTCAATGTAAGGAATAGCAAGGACATACAATCAAGATTACTCTACCTAGTAAAGCTATCATTTAGAATTGAAGGTCAGATAAAGATCTTCACAGAGAAGAAAAAGCTAAAGAAGCTTATTAACACCAAACAAGTATTACATAAAATAAAATGTTGAATAGTATTCTTAAAGAAAAAAAGGAGAAGGAGAAGGAGAAGGAGATGAAAGAAGAAGAAGAAGAAAAAGAAGAAGAAGAAGAAGGAGGAGGAGGAGGAGGAGGAGGAGGAGGAGGAGGAGGAGAAGGAGGAGGAGGAGAAGAAGAAGAAGGGAAAAAAAATATCTATCAACAATTGCATCTAAAAATCAAAATAAACAAGGAATTTAATGAACAAAATGAACTGGTGAATAAAATAGTACCAGAGTCATGGAAACAAGGAACAGACTAAGGAGTCTCAGGGGGAAAGGGGTTGGGGGAGGGAGGGCAGGAAAAGATGAACTAAAAAATACATATACATATATGCATTTCCAAAGGATACAGACAATAGAGTGGTGAAGGCCTGGGGCAGTGAAGGAATCAGGTGGATAGGGGAAATGGGGGAACAAAGAGAAACATTTGTAATATTCTCAGCAATAAAGACTTAAAAAAAAAAGAATAAAGGAGAAAAAGTAACATTCAGATAAGCTAAAACTAAGAGAACTTGCTATTAATGGAACACTCTAAGACTACTTTAAGTATTTCAGATGAAATGAAAATGCAGCTGAAATTTTAACATGCAGGAAGAAGCAAAGAGATAGAATGTGGTAAGATGTGAGTAAATCTTCATAAACTTGAATATTTAAAAATAATAATAATAATAATAATAAGATATACAAAATTAGAATATGACAAAAAAACTATAATTTAAAGGAAAGGATAGATTTCAAATCTGATAAGGTATTTTTTTATCATCTAAGAAAAAATAAAGACTTAGAATTGGCTTTTAACAAGCTCGTTAGTCTATAAGAAGTTAAGAATACACATTTTAATGTTTAGGGTAATCAATTAAAGAATAAAAATAGGGAATAACATAAAAAGCTACAAGGGCGGGGTGGGGGGAAATAGAATAATTAAAAGATCAACCAACCAGAAAGAATGCAAAAAATAGAGAAAAAGAAAAAGAAGATGCACAAAATAAGGGGTAGGTCATAACTAATGATTTTAGTAATTTAACCATTTGTGTTTTAAATGATCTTGCTGTAGTATTAAGATTATAAGATTAAAAAATAAGCATAAAATTTGAAAGCAAATGGATGGAAAATGTACACACTGCAATAATATTTAGAAGACTTGCTAGATAAATAAGATCACATCATTATAGAAAATAATGGCCAAGAAAATAAAACTAAATCTACATGGTTTTAATAACATGGCATTAAATACATAAAAAAAATGACAGAAGAAAACACAAGTTTATGACCACAACAAAAGGTTTAATAGTACTACTTGTAGCAATGAAGATAACAATGGGCAAAAATAATAAGTATATAGAGGAATATAATAATAATCAATATATTTCATTCAAGGCAACAGACAAATAAGCAAGTACATTTTAAAAATCAACCAAGTTCTAGGCCATAAAATCCAGTCTCAAAAAAAGTCACACAAGCAGACTGTCAAATTACTGCAGGGAGGGTAGGAAGATCTGGGGGAGATAATAGATCAACCGAAGGACTTGTATACATGCATATAAGTACAACCAATGGACACAAAACTCTGGGGAGGGAGGGTTTGTATGGGAAGGGGGGCAATGTTAAAATATGTACACAGATAATAATTTAATTAAAAAATGTAAAAAAAATAAAATAAGACAGAAAGTTAAAAAAAATTCACAAAATTTAAATTGTGCAACATTTGGACTTTTACTACAATGAAATAATGTGGGAAATCAACAAGAAAAAGACAAGTAAAATATGCTTCTATGAAAATTTGGAAATTTTAAAAAATAGACTAAAAACCTATGGGTCAGGAATTTAAAAGAATGCATCTAGATGTTCTCTGCATTTAGAACTATATTTACAGAAAACTGTACTTTCTCAAAAACATATGTTAGAAAATAAGGAAGAAAGAAATAAGCATCTGACTTAAGAAATAAAGTCAATAAAATGAAGATAATGACAAGAAAAGAAATTGTGGTATTCAAATAAGCTCAAAGTAAATATAACAAAAAGCAAAAAGTTAATTAATTGAAAGGAATAATAGAGTTTTAAAAGACAAATAGAGTTTGAAAAGACAAATGAGGAAAAACAAAAGTTAGGTACAAATGTCAAGATTGAGAAAGGGACAACTCTTCAGACCCTTTGACATAAAAAAGAAATAGTTTTTGATGTGAAGAATGCACATTGCAATTCTCGAAAGCAATATTTGAACAACTTTAAAATTAAAACACTTAATAATATTTTAATTGAATTAACAAATAAAAATATATCATGCAAAACAGAAACAATAAGAAATGAAAACCTGTCATCTTATAATCACAAAATAAATTACATAAATAATAAAAATATAGTTCCAGTAAGAAACTTCACTGGCAATTTGCTTCAAACACTTAAGAAGAAATAAATCCAAAATAAAATAAACATAAAATATGCAAGAGAATGGGGAAAATATGTACACTCTTCAGTTTTATTTAGAGAAACATGATATTTATGACTGATTAATCATATATTAGTCTTTTTCCCTCTCCAGGAGGAGAGTAATACAAATTGTTTTGTTTATATTTATAGTATTTAAGTGTAGATACTGAATCTTAGGTATAATATTAAAAATTGGCAATTTCTTTGAAATATATTTCTTATTTCTGACTATCTTTTTGAAATTTTGAATTTATCATAGCTTCATAAATAAAAATATACATATAATATTAGTGAAAATTATTATTTCAACAACTTATTTAAATAATTTTCAGCTCATAGATGATCCAGCTGTCGAGATCAAACTCAAGATCCAGTCTTTAATTTATCCTGCCCTTCAGAGTCTTGATATGGATTTACCATCTTATCGGGAAAACGCACATTTTTCAACTCTGCCCAGATCACTCATGGTGAGGTTTTGGAGTGAATACATTACCACAGATAGATCACTTGAAAAAGCGATGCTTGTCAATCAACATGTACCAGTGGAATCAAGCTACCTCTTCAAATTTGTTAATTGGAGTTCTTTGCTCCCAGAGAATTTTAAGAAAGGGCACTTTTATAGCAATCCAACTCATGGTCCTTCTGAGCTAGCTAGAAAGTATTCAGGGTTTCTAGATGTGAGGGCAGCCCCCTTATTAGCTGATGACAACAAGTTGCATAGCTTACCTTTGACCTATGTAATCACTTGTCAATATGATGTTTTAAGAGATGATGGAATCATGTATGTCACCCGACTTCGGGATGCTGGAGTTCGGGTGACCCATAACCATGTTGAGGATGGATTCCATGGAATAGTTACCCTTCCTATATTTAAAATTGGACAAAGAGTAGAAAATCAGTATCTGAGTTGGCTAAGTGAAAATCTATAGTAAATATCTTAGCAGTGGTTTATAAAAATATGTAAGCCTCAAATATAAAACATTAGTGAGAATCAAAAGGTTATGTTTAAATTTCTCTTTATCACCCATGACCTTTCTAAGGTCCTCTGAACCATTGTGATTTTTTGTTGTTTTGGGATTTTTTTGTTTGTTTGTTTTGTGTTTGCTTTTTTACTGAGTAGATTCCCTACTTCTTATCCTAAGTTTTGTGTACTCACATCTGTTATCTTAGAAAATGTCTACATTCTTAAATATTTTTTCTTGCTACTTAAGTGCCTAAGAGATCACTGGTATTAATTTTGGTATCCTAGAACAGAAATAGGCTGGCTCATATTAAGAAGTGGATTTTATAGTAATAGATGGCATTATATTGAAACAAATACTTTGAAAAAAACAGTTGGCACAGAGGTCATATTAGTTAGTGCCTTCAAGGTTTTTTCAAGGCACTAAATCCATTTCTGGTATTTTACAAGCCAGATGTGTTTGTTTAAAACTTTTTCTTAACAATAATACTATTAGACAATCAAAAAACTAAGGCTGTAAATTACAGCTATAAGAAATGAGTAATGTCTGTTTTAAAGAAAATGCAATGTTTATTACAAAATATGTATGGAAATAAAATTGATATAAAAACATTATTTTGTTTTGAGGAAACAAGTTGGAGGATTTATAGGTTGCAAAGCAATATAAAGCTACCAGTCAAGATAGTATGGCATTTCAAGAAGATAAGCAAATAGATAATACAATAGAATCCAGAAACCAATTCATATATTTAGAGTCAATTGTTGAGATAAGATTGCCAATCTAATCCCATTCCAAAAGTATTATATATATATTTTAAATGGTGATTAAACATTTGAATATTCATATAAAATACCCTTAATCCTGGTCTTGACTTACTTCACATTATAGAAAAAAAAAATAACTCAAAATGACTTATTGATCTAAATATAAAAACCTAAATTTTAAAACTTCTATAAATTTTATTTTTTTAGATAGGACTACATTTTACTTGAATTGTTGCATCATATAAGCTTTCATTATATTGTAGTGTCAGCTGTGTGGACTATTTCCAATATTACACAAAAAACAAAATCTACGCACTGTCAACAGGCTGACTTAGTGAAAATGATTTCTTGAACACTGACGTAGCACTGTAATGTGTGTATTTGAATATTTCATGAAGAAAGCAGGAGCTTTGTGGTATTTTTGTAAATCTTAATTGGAAATTACATTGAAATAGTTAATCATTTTATTTACAATTCAGTCCTTTTTCTAGTTTGAAAAAAATAAGTTGAACACATTTTAATGCCTAAAATGAATATATAAGACTAATGCAGTCAAGCAGAGATGCATAAGCTAGCGCAGTTCCTGAAATAGCTACAAAAAGACAAGACTGGAAGAAAGTGTATTAAAAACTTTATAGCAAGTGGCAGCTGAGATTTTTCTGTAGCAGAGAAAAACAATACGCAACTTGTCTGTTGTATAAAACAAATTGTGAAAATAATAAAGTGGATAACATAAATAGACATAGTAGCTTATGCATAATTTATAAATTATTTTTAATGTGATCTGAGTTTATAACTTTGTCCAATTAGAGTTTGGATTCTGACACAAAAAATAAAATTATTTTTAGATAAAGAGGTCATAATAGATAGTGATAAAACTACATATACACATAAATATATATGTAGTTTTACATAGGGCATATATATTATGGTGTTTGTTAGAAAATGATGAAATAAAGGCTAAAATAATTGTTCAGAAAAGTGAAATATTTTAAATTATTTGTAGGATTTAAAACAATTATATGTAGTATACAAATAATTATATGTAGGATGCAAAATATTTGTAATAATAGCAAAGATCAGTTAATTAAAAATTTGGAAAAGCACAAGCCCTTTTAGTTTTAGATAACTTGTGTGATATGAGATTTATCAATGAATACTCTGGCTATATTTTTTCTAAAAAATACTCCAAATTCATGGGCACACACACACATACACACACACATACACACACACACACGTCTACTTGTGACCAAAAATACTGAACTCATAACATGGGTATGTTTGAATATCTATATCCATCAAAAAAATAATTTTAACTAGTCATAAAAAAATTATCATCACAGAAAGTGCTCTAGCTGGCTGTGTTAGGCAACATTCAAGACTTCATGGAATTTTTAAGCAAGAGACCACTTTTTCCTACTGCTTCAATCCCCTGTGTGGTATCAACTGAAAGGGTTTGGCTCAGCTTTCTGAAAATAGCTGTGAAAAGTACCATGAATAATCTTTTCTAAATTTTTAGTATATATTTGGAAATGTTATGAATCATTGCCAGTTTGTGAATCTATTGAAATAAATAAAATATAATGATTTTAATCCTATTGTGGTCTTTAAAAAATGCTTGTTGTTGAGTCAGTAGAGAGTTTTACAAAGATTTATTATACTATTCATTCACTTTAAGGTTTTCTGGAAACAAAAGGAATTTTTGCCAAATGTACTATTGTGTTGTATAAAAAACGACAGTGTAACTTGTTTCTCATAATTCTGAAACTCCAAGTAAAGAAAAGCTTACTTGTGACCTAGCTAGACAGGTGACAAATTTTATATTGAAATACACACTTTTTATTATCAGAATCAGTGATAATGGTTTGTGCACATTTCTAACAGGAATCAATATACAGAAGGTATTAACATACAACTAAAATAATTATATAAATTGGCTGCAAAAAGAACAAGAAATATTGGAGAACATGTCATGGCTATTGATAAATTTAGAGCCATTTTCAATTTAGTCATTGCTCTTTTAATTTTTGTGTTAATTATATTGAGTTGACACAAGAGTTTTAAAATTTACTTACATTTGATAAATATAGTTTTGAAACTGATATGTTTTTGCTTAAGAGTCAAATGAATTATTTTGTTAATGATGAAGCAATTTGTCAATATGGATGGATGTGAATAATAAAGGAAATTTATTTTTGTACTTAATTTATTATTGGAAAACTTTTCAGAGTGCTCATGAAAATTTGAGTATGTGATTCTATAGTTTCAATAATAATTTCATAAAGGATTAGTACAAAAACATCTTATTTTATATTGATAAAATATTACTAACATTAATTTAACCTATTTTTAGTCTTCATTGATGTTTATGCTAGAAAATTTAAAATTATATATGTGGCTTGCATTTGGAGCTCACCTATTTCTAATGAAAAGCAGTGATGTAAGCTATTGTAACTTGTTTTTGTTATGTATGGAATTTTTAGAAAGTTCACTTTAACTCATTTTAAAACCAATTATAAATACTATGTGATCATTTTTGGAAGCTTTGTGGGAGCTTCAAATAAATTAGTTATCTTTGGATAAGAAAATATATTAAATACATATAAGAAATATCCTGGTATATATTTTACTGCATGTATTATTATGTGTGTAGTTACAACTCCTTGTTAAAAGAGATACTAAGCCCTGGCCAAATGGTTCAGTTAGTTGGAGTGTCGTCCTGATACACCAAGGTTGTGGTTTTGATCTCCAGTCAGGGCAAATACAAGAGTCAACCAATGCCTGACTGGTTTGGCTCAGTGGATAGAGCGTCAGCCTGTGGACTGAAGGGTCCTGGGTTCGATTCTGGTCAAGGGCATGTACCTTGGTTGCAGGCACATCTCCAGCAAGGGATGTGCAGGAGGCAGCTAATTGATGTTTCTCTCTCATCAATGTTTCTAATTCTCTATCCCTCTCCCTTCCTCTCTGTAAAAAAATGAATAAAATATATTTTTTAAAAAGAGTGCACCAATGAATGCATAAATGAGTGAAACAAGTTAATATTTCTCCCTCTCTCCCCTTTTCCCTGTCTCTTTTAAATCAATACATTTTTAAAAAGAGATACTAAAAAGAAAGCAAACATTTAAAAAGAGGTTTAATTTATTTGACTGTAAGAAAGGCATTATAATTCCCTTACAGTTAAGGAAAATATTATTGAACAAATTAACTGAAGGGCTATTGTGCATCAGCCTCTGAGTTTGGATTGGACAGATAGCCATGCAACAAGTTCTCAGTGTGAAGTCTCTGAGAAAAACAGAGATGGGAATTAACACATGACTTGGACTTTAATAGAAATATACCTGTAAATGTATGGGTGCCTGGGTCAGGGCCCAGCCTGTCCATGTGCTCTCTTCAGTGAGGCCGAGATGTAAGCTCATATCATAAACCCCATTGCACTTGGAGTGTTTTCTAAGCCACGGAGCTTGCCAGACTGAGGAAATTCCAAAGCTGGGTGATGACATCGGCTCTTTCTTCAGCCTTGTTGCAAGCATGCAAAGTCTTAGCACTCAGAGGTTGCTGCATGGCAGCTGAAACTCCTGACTAGGGGAAAGAGGCTCCCCAGGATTGTTTGTGCTGCCTGCCTGACTTATAGCCATGTGGGCGAATCCATGAAGGATGTGTAGCCAACTCTTCACTTCCTAGTCCACAGTTCTCTCCTGCTTCCCGTCATACAACCGGTGACCCTGCCAGATGGAGGCAGTGCATTGCAATATTAACAATTGGCCTATATCTAAAGGCTTATGGGCATGAGTTATGATTTCTGTTCAGTGTTGGCCTTGTGTCTTTCTGCTGCAATAAATATCACTTTAAATTCCTTTGGACCGTCAACAACCAATGAGGATCCATTTGATAGGTTAGTTGGAGTCAAGATAGTTTTTCTAGGTGGGGTGAAGAGATTGAGAGGAGGAAATGCAACCGCTTTCATACTGGTTCCTCTCGTGTGAGATTTTTTAAAAATATATTTTTATTGATTTCAGGGAAGAAAGGAGAGGGAGAAAGAGATGGAAACATCAATGATGAGAGAGAATCATTGATCAGCTGCCGTTTGCATGCCTCCTACTGGGGATCAAGCCCTCAATCCGGGCATGTGCCCTTGACTGAAATCAAACCTGGGACTCTTCAGTCCGCAGGCTGACACTCTATCCACTAAGCCAAACTGGC